TATATTATAATATAAAATTGAAGTTGCTGCACAGGTAAATATATATACACAGATGAAACTTGAGATACGATACCTCAAAATTTATTTGAGAACAACGACGTAACGAGTAATGTCGGACATGGACCTTTATGAGCTAAAGGTCTATGGCCGAAAGTACTGTACTCGTTACCTGTCTTTTACAAATACATTTTGAGGAAAATATTTATACAAATTAAATATATGTGTGCATACATATTCAGTATGTGCGTATATATCCGGTAAACACAAATTTATCTTTCACGTTTCACTTTCCCGACCATTTTCGTGATATAGAAGCGCCGTTAAACACATTAGTTGACAGCCAATAGGTTTCCGTAAAGGCGATAAAATCAAAATAGAAAGTACAACAAATTGATAAACATAGCTTTAAGAGTGTATATTAAATCATATAAAAAATGTCTTCACCTGGAACTATTACTTTCGATATTAACGTCGATTGCAACAAGGAAATTATTCCTTATCACAATTGATTTAAACATGCAGCGATTTATCCGATACTTCCTCATTCGTATCAATAGAGGCAGTATAGTAAGGAACGTCAGTCAGTCAAAATGCGCTTTTCTAATTTAGATCTGTTTGTTGTTGTGTTGATTTGCTACTACATTCAAAACTCAAGAACCATCACCGATTTTTGTAATAAGAATTGTGGTATTTGTCAAAATTCTACTTGTGAAAGAAATGACTCCTGTAAATGCTATTATTGTCAGGATTGTAACTCTCTGTGCGTGGATTGTGATTCAAAGATGCTGGAAAACGTGCCAAACCTCGAATTCAATACGACACACTTGAATTTACAAAATAATAAAATTACGAAATTAGACGGAAATAGTTTTATCAATGTTAGTTGTACCATCGTATCTTTGGAGTTATCAAAAAACAAATTGGTGTCTACCAACATATCTAAGTACGCCTTTAGAGGACTGGATCAGTTGCAATATCTTTCGCTAAAGGAAAATTACCTAAGCCAGATACAAATTATATGGTTTGCAGATCTAAAGAGTCTCACTCACCTCATTCTTGAAAAGTGTAATCTAATGAACATCAGCGAAGATGTGTTCAGGCAGTCTCCAAGCTTGAAGTTAATAAACCTTGGCGATAATAACATAAAATCTCTTCCTAGCACTTTATTCTCAAAACAGATTAGAATTAATCGATTGGAATTACACAACAACTTAATTAAGTATGTTCCTGACGCATTTTTGGAAACTTCTAAAAGTAGCATTAGTGAACTGTTGCTACACGATAATTTGATAGAAACCATACATTCTTCGCTAGGATTACAACATCTGACAAACTTAACAAATCTAACATTATTTAGCAACCCATTCAAATGCAACTGTGACTTGGTATGGTTTATAAATTGGACACAAAATAACAAACGGAGATTTAAAGTGTTGAGTAGAAATTATAAGCCCCTCTGTGATAATATGAATAAGACTTTGTGGGATTTAAATTTAAGAGATTTTCATTGTAAATGGATCTGGTGGGAGGTGGCGCTTAGTGTTAGTGTAGCTATTTTACTTGTTATTTTCTATTTGAAGCTCCCTTATATCAGGTAAGCCTATTCTATTTTCGTGTTACATACTTCACGTTACATTACAATATATAATATCTGTCTCTTATACACATCTAGATGTGTATAAGAGACAGGTATGTCATTCCTCTACTTTGTTAGTGAAATAACGTTTTTTTTAAACTTTTATTTCTACTATCAAAAAATGTTACCCAATGGCCATTCTTTTTCAATTATCTCTCAGAACATTATTTCCGTCTGCTGTAATTGTTAAAAAACAAATGCTTTTAAAGAAATAAAAAAAATCACATATTGATCTCAGTTCAAAGGAAAAAATAAAACTTATTTCTAAATTTACAATTTTCACCTATAAACC